GTCCAGGTCAGTGTAACACGCACTCCCAGTGATAAAAGGAAGACCCCTTCCTTGGGCCAGTGTGGCTCAGAAAACTCAAAAGTCCTCACACCAAGAAAAGCCATTTGGTTTTCACCTAGAAGCCATGAAGAAGATGCTGCTTTGAGTCACTGTGGCTCCAGGACCTACCCAACCAACAGACCCAGCAAAGGAGTAAGGACACATGGAGCACAACAAGCCAGAAACAAGATGCTCTTCACAACAAATGACATATACATGCAGCACAAGGCTAGGGCCTTTTCTGGTCTCCTGGAAAAAGGCTGTGAAGAATTTCAGTAAGCTCTGGACATAGTATTTCTAGAAAAACTTGGAAGCAACCCAGGTGACTAAACTGTTTGGCAATTAAATCCTGAAGTTGCTACTCTGCTCCTTCTCTTGAGATGTAGTCACATCAGCAATTTACTTCCAGCTATGCTACTGAAGAGTTAATAGACATAACAACTTTGGGATTGTAAGGTAACAACTCGCATATTAAGGAAAGCAAACCCTCCTCCTATGACCCAATCCCTACTGCTAGAGGAGCAGAGAGCTGAAAAAGATCCACTGCTTATATATATTAAGCCTTAAAATCTATTGTAGCTAGTTATAGGCTGCCCACAAAGGTCCTTTAAGTCAGCACACCTGTACAATGTACGTTGCCAGAGAAGTCACTACCTAGTGTCTGAAAATACATTTGCTAAAAAGCAAAGCCCCAAAAGCTCTGACAGAGCTGTTACTGAAGTCTCTAGATATGCTGATGTCAAGGGAAGAGAAAAAGGGCAAGGCACCATGTGTCAAAGGGCTGTGGTCTAGGAACTTCTGACAGACCCAGGACAGATGACACAAAGGTAACTTGGCTAAATTCAGTACTGAAGATAGTAGTTCTTTGCTTAATGCCCTGTCTTTGTAACATGTATCTTCATAAACAGGAACTGCAGGAAAAAACTCAGGAAAAGACTGCAGGGATATTCAAGTGTCTGTCTTTACAGTGTGACTACAACACTGTCAGGCCCATTTGAAAACACCTTCCATTTAGAAGCTAGCACAGAGACCATTAAAAATGCTGGCAGAAGCTGCAAGTTCCCTGTGTTCAGTAAAAGCAAGTCCCAGCTGCTCACCTACAAGCTTCAGATCCCTCCAGACTCTGCCAAAGATGATGGCTGGACCAGCCTAACCATCAAACAGTAATAGTTCTGAAACTTGCTGATTGAGAGTGTCTTTCAGGTTTATGTTCAAGTGCTACTTACATCCAGTGACAGGAAGGAGGTGTATATACCAGGTGAGACTACCTGTGGAAGAACTCTGCTAATGCTTTCTCTAATCCCAGTTTGAAACTAAACACAGCAGATGACAGATTCATCATGCTGTAATCTTGAACTGCACTATCAGACTATCCTATAATGATCTACAAGTGCATACTTCAACAACCTCACGTGCCTTGAGAAGGGATGAAAAAGATTACTTCATCTCTAAGACTTAAACATTCAGATTGCATTTAAGGTTGAGTTCACTGGGCAAATGAAGACCATCTGCCCACATCACAAGACTGATACTGCCTTATTTTGGGAGAGAAGAGTATTTCAGATTAGGATTGGACAAAGTCCCATACATCCTGGGGCACTGGCACAAGGTATCAGTTGCCAGTTACTGTCAGCAGCAGGATTTGATGCAGGATTTGATACACGATTCCCTTCAGATGACATGTACTGCAGCTTAACTTTCTACTCTCCCACTTCCAAGATCTCTAAGTTACTGCTGCAAGTCTGACACCATGAGCCTTGCTTTGAAAGCAGAAAATTGGGTGGGATGGGGAGAAGAGGTTTTTTTTCCCCTGCTCCTACCTACAGGTTTAGTAAACTGAACCTCAGGCTTCAGAAGCCTTGCACAAAGAAGCCATGACAAAAGCTCTTCTTCCCTAAACAGGCTAGAATTAGTTGGTCAAGTCACAAGTGTTTTGAACAGCTGTAGATGCAAGTGCAAAAAAAGGAGCAAGACAGACTCATATTACTTCTGTAGTTGAGAATTTCAGAAAGTCCACAGCATTGGCACTTCTGAAGTATGAAGGCTTAAGGTTGCAGGACAGGAAGGAGTATTCCTCGAAAAGACCCTCCAACTTTAAAGCAAAATCTGTTTTATTAGACAAAGCTACAGCTCCTGCTGCTTTGAGAATTGCCCAGTTTCTCACCTTATTTTAGGAGACATGCTTAAAAACTGGTCATTGATTGACTGGCCATCTGCTGTAGTGAAATCAGTTTGAAATGAAGGTACATTTGATAAGGTAGCTTGTTGATACCTCAGAAAAAAAAGCTGTTCTAAAGCCTGGTCTGTCAAGAATGATCTTTATAGAACAGAAGGAAGAAAGTTTTTTTCCCCAAGAAAAAGCTTCCCAGGACAAAGCTCCGCTTTCAGAGGGACTGGCATGGCTTGGCCAAGAAGGAGAGGCAAAATACTTGCTTTGCCTCAGCATTAACCTTCCCAGACAGTGCTGAACCAGTTCTCACTCTCCTGACTTTCATGTTCTGGGCCAGTCAACAACTGAACTGTTCCACCAGCCTGGGGTCCTGGGAAGGGAGCAGAGCTTCAGCCACTAGGGGAGCTGGGCAGAGAGCCCCTGCTTTTGATAAAGCTCTCAAGCTGAGGAAGGCAGACATTTTTCTCTCCAAGGAGGTCAGATGCACACTGACGTTTCTTTCATAGATATCCACATGTTGGTCAAACGATGGTTTCTTCACTTCAACAGCAGTATTGGTACTAAGGACAACTTCTGTTCCTTGAGAGCTGTCTGAAGTTGATACTCAGCACAGTAAAGCTGGATTGAGGAAGGACACATGAAGCACAGGAAGGGCAGTTTTGTTTTTTCAAGGCAGACAGCCATGACCTGTGTAAGCTACAGCTATAATATACTATGAAACTTGAAATACTTCTAAAGTTGAGCCCACTGGAGATGATAACCATATTCCCCTACACACCTAAATTTATACTGTATCTATTTGATGTGTACAAGCATTGCTTACACTCCACTTCTGTTGAAGCAAAAAGATATTTAAGTCATATCCAATTAATATTACATGAACAGCTACTTAAAATCTGAAACGTCTTTTATGACATATTTTAGTGATATATGGATGCAGTATGAATAAGAGGATAACAACATAAAGACGAGATATCCATCAGCTAAGAATATCCTTGCTAACTGATGCCCTAAAGTAGTTCTTAAGGAACAGCCACAAGCATGGCCAAGTCTTGCTATAGCTTTACTTAGTCACATCTTTGATAAAAAAAGGAAACTTGGATTTATTAACAAGGAGAACATGCAGATATCCACAGTTCATTCTAACAGGCCAAGGTGTCTGGCCTAAGGCAAATTAAAGGAATTTCCTGATATAATGCACCTTTGCTACAATAGTAATTATTGCTTTATTAAAACAAAAACCCATCTCTCCAACCTACTGAAGTTCAGGGACAGGGCAGTCCAGAAGGCTTGCTCCCCTATATTACCAGACTGAAGTCTTGCAGCTTGTTTCACCCTTAAGCTATAAACTAAAGTGCCTGGAACACAGACCAAGGCTGAAGCAATAAAGTGCTAATTGATGCGGGAAGTGTGACAGGAAAAGAACTTCACTGCCACTGTGATAAAGAAGTTGTAAGAATGGACTAATGAGACTACAATATCGGTAGAACAAACAGTAAAAAAAAAAGATTCTGACCACAAAATTTCAGTCTCCAGATTGTCATGAGACAACTTTCCTTCCAGGGGATAGACTAGAGTCTTTAATAACAATCTTGGCACAGACCATTACGGCCACTTGAGGGAAAAGCACAAGTGAGTAGGCATCTTTCCTGCAAACTGCTTTTACACTTCACACATTAAAACTAGAAGAGGATGTCTGTGTGTGGAAAAGGAATTCAAATGAGGAAGAGCCCAATGTCTTACTGGAGCCAGTAATCCTACAGTATTTACATAGATATGGATGTAGTTTGCCATGCAAAGACATAATTTTAGTTGTACAGGGCTAGAGACAACCAGTTCCCCAACAAACATAAGGCAAGTCTTGTGTCTGAAAAACATTTGATGCTTTGAAAGCTAAGGGGAGGAAATTTGGTATTATTTACCCTAATATAAGGAAAGTAAACCTAAGTAGATACCTTTCCCCCATCCCACTGACAAGTTAATCCCTAAGAGTACATAATTGTCTACGCAATATTCTTAAACAGATTGAGCTCACAGAAAGATCCTACAGACTCTTAATCATTGATTTCCATTTGGAAGCCAGAGCCAGCTTTAAAAAGCCCTGGGTTAAACAAGAAATTCACTACTAAAAGATGACTACGTATAAAAAGAGGCAGAGATGAAGAGAAGGTGACTGATCTGGTCTTGGTGCAAGAACATGTCTACATAAAAACACTAACTAGTATTACCAGCCTGCAGCTTTTCTCTACCTGGAGTCCCAGCATAAAAAAAAAGACACCCCAATCCACAGATAGCTGAAGCATGGAAAAGTTCAGTATTTTTAAACTGATTGACTTGTGTAAGTGCATTCCTAGGAAGTAAAAGGCTCCCTTGAGACGGTGCAAGGCTGGAACTCTACTTGCAGTCAAACATCTGTTTTTCCAAGCCACATTTTAGTGGCTGACTGAACCATTCACTGTCTTGTGGCTTGGTACAGGGTTTTCCAGGACAAGGACAGAGGAAAAGAGAGTCATCTACATCTAAACAAGTGTTGCAGATCAAGTTTTTGACCAGCAGGTGAAGGGATTTTGACATTTGAAACTTCTGCTATATTAAAGCAAGCAGACTTTAGCTCAATAACCCTGTAAAAAGTCACAGTCAGCAACTTAACTCTTCAAGCAAACCAGTAAATTACAAACTCAAGTGACTATATATGCAAAGATGCTCTGATCAGATATTAAACCTCTGCTTTAACTCCACTTCGGAAGAAAACATTGTGATCAAACCCCAGCCACAGGATATCAAGGAGAATGGAAACCTGAAGCAGCAGGTGAGGAAACAAGATGTTCCCAAAGAGTGAGATATACTGACATGATCCAGAGTCTTTGGGTCAATTACTCCTGGCCAGATACAGCCTGCTCTGTGTCTGAGCAGTGAGATTTTGTCTTCTCCCACTGGCAGATGGCATTGGCATACTGTACCACAAGCTTATCCATCCAGGTAAGGGGTTCTGGAAATAGTACAGACCCCTCAAAAAATCCCAGGTGGCCTCCATGAAGGGGCAGCACATGCATGACGTTTTCTCTTTTCTCTGTAAAACAAAAGGAGGCACAAATTTCCAGAAGGTTATCATCTTGGAGCTGAGAACAAGACCATCTTAAGTTGAGACAATCAACTCTATCCCTGGCATAGCATCTGAACCAAAGGAGCAGTCATGTGTAGGAAGCAGCAGAAGCACACTGACAAAGGCCACAGATACTTTGAAGTCCAAAACACATAACCTTACTGCTTTACAGAACAATCTGCAGGAACCAGTCCCAGGCAGTACAAGAAGGCTGCCCAAGAAATGTTGCTGGCTGGGCCCTTAGGGCAATACAGGTATTGCCATAAGAATGCTCATTCTTTGACAAATTAACATCTTTAACTCATGTACACTAGAGCTAGGACTGTTAACATCATGTTGAGCTGTGCCAGCTCTGACAGTTGTCCTGGGTTCAGCTGAGATAGCATTAATTGTCTTTCCAGTAGCTGCAATAGTGCTGTGTTTTGGATTTAGTATGAGAGTGACATTGATAACACACTGATGTTTTTAGTTGTTGCTAGGTACTTATAGTGTCTACACTAAGTCAAGGACCTTTCAGTGTGTCAAGCACTGCCAGGTGCACAAGAAGCTGGGAGAGCACAGCCAGGACAGCTGGCCCAGACTAGCCAGAGGGATATTCCCTACCATAGCACATCATGCTCCGTATGTAACTGGGGAGGCAGATTTGCTGCTCAGAAATATACTGGGCATCAGGGGTCTTTTTTTCTCTGCTTTTTTTCTCCCCTTCTGCATGTGGTGAGCAATTGTAATAACAAAACAAGTTATGTACAAGTGTTATTATTATTGTCTTCCTTTGTTATCCTATGAAACTCTCTATCTCAGCTCGCATGAGGTTTGTTTTTTTCCATTCTCCTCCTCATCCCCTTGGGGAAGGAGGGGTGAGCAAGTAGCTGCATGGTGCTTAGTTACCAGCTGGGGTTAAACCATGACACAGTACATCAGCCACCTTGTTCCATGTATGGTGATAAAATCCCTGTGCTTGCTTCTTTCTAGAAGCAGCTGTGGATAAATTCTCAGCTCACAGATTTCAAGCAGGAAAAGAAGTGAGCCCTGCCTCCCTCCCTGTGCACCCGCTATTTGTGTGATGAAGCAGCCACCAGCTCCCACGTTCTGAGCTTCTGAAGGTAATTTGCCTTTTTTCTTGGCTGAAGATAGACAGCTCACAGAACTCCTTTCAAGGGAGAGATCTAGTTCAGTACCAGAGTCATGCGTATGCCCCCACCCCACCCCGACTTGATCAAGACTATCACTATAACAACCCAGCTTTCTACTAAATCTCAGTGAGGAATGAAAACAGGAGGAAGCATTTTTTGATTCAAGAATGTAACCTACTGGCTATCAACACAAGCCAACACAGCAGAAGGTGCCTGAAAGGGCTCAAGTTCTTCCTGCTTGAGGTTAGCCTTGTTAGTTCTAGCAACTGGTGATTTAAAGAGGCTTAGTATACCTCCCACAGGATTACAGATGTAAGGAGGCAAGTCAAGCTGCTTTGAAATCATGGATCATGATGTGATAAGGAAGCTGCAGGCACACAAATATGCACAGCTGGAGGAGACTGCTTCAACATACCTGAAAGAGCTCTTGGAATTGATAGAAGACTCTCATGCACAAGAGGGTCATCAGCAGCATTAACCAACAGAAGAGGAACATAGATCTGCATCAAGAAACATGGCAGAAAAATAAAACAATAACGGGTTGGTTTTTGAATTTCAGCCTATCAACTGTAAAAGCATCTTAGCTTAACTCAATTAAGACATCTTATTTCAGAGTTGCCTGGTACCTGGAGCTGTAAATTAAGACTCATGACTTCTTACCAATGGAAGTACTGCAGCATTCCCCCCCCCCCCCCCCCGCCCCAACTCAACTGTATGAAAGGGGCAGGGGTGCATCAGAGCAAATACAGATTGAGTCACACATCTTCCCCATTCTCAGAATTCAAATAGCTACACCCTTTTTTCCTCTGCATTGCTTTGCACATCAGGCAGCTAGTGCCAGCTCTGTTATGGACACCTTGGTTAAAGTCCAGGAAACTCCCTTGGAATGTCTCCATCCTCTGGCTCAGTAAATCAAGGAAGAATTAATCTTCCAGTTCCACTTCTGCAAAACTTTGGTCTGCTAAGCATCTGCCTGCCAGATAGTGTCCTGAGTCTCTTCCACAGTATCTAGCAAGCCTTTCTTCCTTGAAACTGCAGGATCTATGCCACCCGCCCATTGCCCACCTTATCCTTGTACACTCAGAGCCGTTCAGCTGAATGCATGGCTTTATTTAGATCACTTGGGTGCTACTACCTGTCAGTTATAAGCTCTTAAGAGTCCAGAGCATTTAGCTCCAGTATTAAAGGTAGCAAGAACTGAAATCCCACTCCAATAGACTGTGCCTGACTATTTCTGAAAATCCCAGCTAAGACAGCTGTGTCTAGATATCAACAACAGAAACCGTGGAGCATTTTCTCTCCAGTAGGAAAATGAAGGTACAAGAGCAGTCTCTATTGCAAGATCTTACTCTGTGCAAGTAATGCAGGCAGCTTTCTTCTTCATAGTATTCCTTCAGGGAACTGTAGCCATGGAACTTCCTGAAAGAGAGAAGACTGTCATTGCAATCATCTGCTTCTAGTACCCACGTGACCCTTCAAGTGGGGACATCTATACAAAGATAAGAGCGATGCCTCGATTTTCACGGACAACGTTTTTTTCCTAACCAGTGTCTCTGCAAAACTCACCTTGGACAGCACATGTTTTTATGCTTTCTGTGCTTACTCAAACATCGTGACAGCATGGGCAAATTAAACATGCAAGTTGAAGTCTAGCAGCCTGCAGGGCATTTCTTTTGAAATATCCCACTCCCCTTAAGTAAATGTACATATAGAAGATAAAGTTATGATCTTGTTCATTACCTGAAAGCCTTTTCAAATACAGAACCACTGCAGTTTATGAACCTCAAACATATGGGACAAAAGGGCCTCCCTACAAGCCATGCAGAATTCATTGTGATTCCAGTTCTTTGCCAATTCCTTAGCACTCCATTCCAAACTAAGAATTCAGTAAACTTATACTCAAGTGCCTTTTTTTTTTTTACTGACATAAGAGACAACATACCTGTTGGCCCAAACTAGAAAGGCCTCAGGGATGAGGGACAAGTAGGGAGATTTCCCTAGGAATCGCTTTTTAAAAGCCGGCAGCAATACTCCCAATCTGCCAGAAGTGTTACAGCTGTATAGCTGACAGTTTACAGCTTCATTTTGGAAAGATGTCAATGCCTGATACAGAACATGCCACAGTATGAACACTGCCACTGAAGAAAGTGCTATGTAGTTTTCAAGGACACAGGCAGTAACAGACTACTGCTTCATAAAGCAGAGAGCTTAATTTAGGTGTTAGTATGACAAGTAAAAGGTTTATTGTCTCTACCAACCCTAATGTTTATTGAGAAGGCAGTAGTTTTTTGGTGAGAAGATTTTTTCCAGAATTTGAGCAGGGCTAAGGACATTCATGAGCAGTTCTGAGCTGCTTTCCACATTCTGCACTCTGTTTTGCTAGAGTTTGCAGGCAGAGCTGGCCTCTTCCTACATTAGGGAAGGCTGCAGGTTCAGACATTACTGATAAATAAATGCCTCCTGGATGATTTTACAGAAGCTGTGACTGTCAATAGTATTTTTTTTTTCTGCTAAGTTTTATTCAATGTGAAGGCAAGGAAGAATTTGAGGTTGTCACCACTGTATTTCAGCAGATTCCTACAGGCACAGGAAGGGGCATGCAAGAGCAACACTTGACAGAGAATGTACTTTCAGAGTTCTACAGAGGATCAGAGAATCGCCCTTCATACCTCATAACGTTATCATCAATCTGCATAAGGGATGTTGCTGTATAGAGTTTGCTCAGATCAGCATCTGACAAGCTTTGTGGCTTCTTCATGTTGTTATCTCCAAAAAGAACTTGCCTGAAAGAGTAACATCAAGAAAAACATCCAAATAACATAATAAGGGCAGCACAGCCATGACCTGTTCAAGGACAGCTGTGTTTACCAATTCTGACAAGATAAGACTAGAAGTGGGCTACATGAGGTTTTCTTGGGAACAAGCACAGCTTATTTGTCCACTTCCCTTTGCAGCAAGACAAACAGAAATCCTAGCAGCCTCATCATAAAAAAAAAATAAAATGTTTTCCTGTTATACTGAAAAACTGCATCAGTGGCCTCTGAAAAGAATCTTCCTGGAACAGACAGCACTAAGGGTACTTGGAACAGAGGCTGCATGTTAGAGGGAGGGTCCTTTGGCTTCAGACCAAACCTGTGGGTGGCTCGGGCGAGAGCACTAGTGGCCCTGGGCATAGCAACTCCTTCACCATCTGGTCCTAAAGCTTCCCAGCACAGATATTAGGTTAGCTCACACAGCAGAAATTACCTTAGCAGAAAGCTATTTACTATGGACACTTTTCATAATTAGTTATTGCCCTCAGGGGAGGAGGTGTTTCTTTACCAGAACAAACTGCTCCCCTAACAAATAGAACAAAAGCTGCAAGTTGGAAAGTAGTTTTTATTCCCTTTCAGAGGCAGCTGCAGGGCAGAGTAGTAGAGAGGCTAGGTTTGATTTGGGGGAGCTGCCTTAGAGCACAAGTGGTTATGGAAAAAAGTTTACTTAACAGACTTGCCTTAAAGCCAGCACTGGCTTTTTCTGGGTTATGAATTTAACTACTTTTTAATGGGGGCTTACCTAACTTCACATGTTAAATTTGGTCAAGTTGTCTAAATATTTGTCAATCTGGAATGAATTATGTGGATCATCCCTCATGTCAGCTGTCCTAATTCCTTCTACAAGGGTTTCATACTGCAGAAGAGTGTAAACAATGAACTAAAAATTTGCAAGCAACACATGCTCTTAGTTGGAATGGGTCTTAGATATTCCCCTCCTTTTCCCTCAAGTCAGGCAACTTCAAATATACACAGATGAGGTAATTACACATTTATTACCCTAGAAAGAAGTACCCAGAAAACTTTTGATGAAGGAAACGACATTGAGCATGTCACCTGTTTAACACACACATTCTTTTGCTGTGCGAGAGCCGTGGATCACAACAACAGAACATGGATCCTACAAGTACACTTATACTCCAGGAAGAGTAACACTAAGTATTTTGCTAGCTACTCACTCTTTCTAGAGGAACAGCTAGAAGCCAGAGCTACAGCTTGACTATTTGCTTATTTGACAAACAGCAACCCCAGTCAGCAGATCTTGAAGATTAGTCCTACCTCAGGTAGGTGGCAGAACAAGAGGCTCCTTGAATAAGGAATTCTTTGGCTAGAAGTGAAACAGATGCAGAATACTCCACTTTGAAGTCTAATTGCATTGTTTTGCTGTGTGCATCTTGTATATTCATTAAGCAAGTTTCCTCGGAAGGCAAAAAGACAATAAAGCCTGCTTTCTTCTAACAAGATCACCAAAGATTATTTGTATATTTTACAGTATATGAATGAGATTAGATGAAGAGAAGAGGATCACCAAGCAAGGAACTGGTGTGTAATCTTTCAGGAATCCCATTTTAAAGTACTGAGAAGACAAATCCAATATAGCAATTGGCCCAATCAATACTATCAGTGTAACTATGTACTGCAGTACCTGTGAGAAAGGATGATTTTCTTCATGTTGTCTGCCATGAGGAAGTTATAAAATCTTCTACATTGATCCCACTGCATGAAGGTTTCCTGTGCCCTAAAAAAAAAAATCACAGTGCAGAACAGTCAAAGCTGTTAATGGAGAGCTGAAAGATCTAATTAATACACTGTAACATCTTATGGCAGCCTAGAGGCTATGTAAACAAATCTCCAGGCCTTCCCTGCCATGGCTTAACCTTTTCCAGGAAATGACTTCCACTTTGATGGAGTTCAGTAGTATCAGAAAACATATCTGCAGTCTCATTTTGCACAATGCAATTAGCTGTTTTGATCAGAGCATTTAAGAGCCATCAATCAAGATCTGCAACACTGACAAGAGGATTTTAGCATTGCTTTGCCTAAGTTGAATGTAATTTACCTAATGGAACTACCAAGGAAAGGACTAAAACCTGTTGCTGAACAGAGTGTTGTCTATTGTGCATATAGCTCTGCAGAGGAAATAATTTGTGCAGGTGTTTCCAGTATGGACACTATTATTGTTTTAACTTCATTGGCAGGAACTGCAGAAATAAATGCTAGTTGTAGCTGCAAGTGGCATCTGAGTTGAAGTCTTTACCTATTCTCAAAGCAGAATAGCACTTCATAGCTTATCTGTTATTAAAACAGAATTAGTCACCCATACTTCTGTGAGCTCTGCCAGATACCAGCACTCCTTTGCTATGCAGGGTCATGGGTAGGTTATAGCTTTACTCTTAGCAGGGTTTGCTGTTACTGAGGAAACACACTATCATTTACCGAGCAACCAAAGAATGCTGGGAGCAGTTTCAGCTACTCAAGTGCTCCTACCACAAACATTAGCATACCCTGAGAACTACAGCAGATTTAGCACGACCTCCCAAGCCACAACCTGCAAGCCCCCTACCAGAGCAAAAGAAAGCTATGTTTTCTTGTAGTAAGCCATGCTGGAATATAGAATTAAAACACCCCAAAACTTTCTTATCTTTGTCTAGCCAGACTATACCTACCATGTTTATGCCAGGGCAGGGGAATAATGGAAGACAGGAATATGCACGTTTCTTCACAACTGATTTTCCAAGCAAATCTTTTAAGTTATTACAAGACATTTGAAGTTAAAGCTACTACATTTCCCTCCAGTTCCTGCAGTGTACAGTAGTACTCCTAACATGAAGAGCTGCAAACACTGAAAAAAGGCAGCTTCTGGTATTTTGAGGACTGCACAGGTTTCAAAGCCAAGGATTCTCCCCACAGCCTGTAGCTATGGTGAAGATGCATTCCACGAGATCAAGAACCAGAATCAAGCCTGTGCAGGCAAAGATTAAGGAATAAGGAGACTTGTCCCCATTCAGCCTCAGGGAACAAATTCCCCAGACTCTGTGTTAATTCATTAAACTAAGAGCCTCATTCTTCTGGCAGATCCTAGTATTGCTGCTACTTTATTATGTCCATCTATAGGGCTCATGCTTAATGCTCTGGAAAGGCTTTCATATTCTAGATCCCTGGTGCACCTTGTTCACCACCACTTTTTTTCCCCCCCTTCACATCCTAAAGTTATTTGGGGGATAAAGGCTGTACAAGCTAATAAAAAAGAAAATGAAATTGTAAACTAAACTGGTCACATCTACCTTGGTAATCCACTTTCACATAGCCCAGAGGGATGAGGCCAGTTATTTTAACCTACCAGATCAAGCCCAGGAAGGTTAAGGTTTAACCACTCCACCTGGAGGTGTTCCATACTGAAGGCCAGGTGCCCACCACACATACCTACTCCCTCCTACCTCTACAACCAGGGGCACAAGGTCCTCCCTATCCTTTTGTCATCTTAGTAGATATTTACTGATGTTGCTTTCTCCTAGCTCTTCAGCTAATTAGCATTTTAAACCAGCAGTGGATATTAGGTAGGGAGACAAGATCTGAAAAGCTTTCCTGGTGATTGCGCAGTAATGCACAGCAGATGGTTTGTGACTGGAGATCTGCTAGTAGATGTTCAGCCAGCAGGTGGAGTCAAGAGCTCAATAATCCACACAACCCACTGAAGACTTGCATTAAACTCAGACAAGCAGCTGTTATTTTTCCACACAAATATCTAAGTGCAGTATTGTTAAACAGGTTGTCCTTGCCCTGCTATTCTACCAGCACATCATGACCTACTACTACAGAAATCGGATTAGGGAACAGCATTACTCATCATTTTGGAGACCAGAAATACAATATTGTGTAACCGCAGAAAATGAACCAAAGGGACTGCAGCCAGATGTGATCCTTGCAAATGCTGTCCGATGGCTGCAATTGAGGACCTGGCTTGAAAAGGATGCTCTGTGCTCCATGCCAGCACCCCAAGAAAACTAAGAACACTTGATTTGAAACAAAACAAAAACTGTTCCTGAAAGCATCTGTTCAGATTTTAAGGGTGTGAACTCATAGGGACCTAGCAGTAGATTATAGACTTTTTTAGCAGTAGTCACATCTGATCTCAAAAGGGATTAGGGGCATACTGAAATATTACTGAAGTGCATATCAAGCTTTTAGTCACATCTTAATGCTTCCAGAAAAGGTTCTTACTTTCACCTATAAGAGCTTAACTCATAACAGGTATCTTCAGACTGCTGAATATCAAACTGGTCCTTGTACAGGCAGAGCATCAGCTGCATCAAGAGAGTTTCAGCTGTCTTAACCAGACTGGGAGGCCAAATTCCATAACAAGCCCCTCACAGGGCTGCCATAGTTTCACCATTTTTATCTGCCCAACGAGTCTTGAGCCAAATACCCTAGTCTCAACAGCCTCTTTTGCCTTTCAAATAGTCTCATGGCCCAAAAATGCAGCTACACCTTAGTAATTGTGCATATGTACAGACACTAAAAACTGAAAACAGTAGCTTGGCCAGTTACACTGTTTTAATCTTCAGTAATTGTGCATACGTAGAAAGTTACAGCACATTAGTCGAGCCACCAGTTTTCAAGCAGCAGTGCTGTACCCAGATCCTCCATCAGCAAATGGAAGCATTAGCACTAGGTGGAGCTGTCACAGCTCTTGTAACTTCCAGGAAGCTCCTTTGCTTCCAGGTAGGGAACCATAGGGTAACACTTTAGGCAGAGTTTGGGCTTATAAGCCTTCTCCTCCCCATCTTCCAAGTTGTATAACATAGCTGCAAGTGCCTCTCCACCTCCTCATCAGCCCACAGCACTGTTTCAGTGACACATACTAGGAGGGGAACATGGACTTACAGTGTATGAGCTGTGTGTCTCTTTCCGGTCTCCCCAGGTAAAAGCTGCCAGATGAAACTGTACACTGGAGCCAGACAAACTATTATGAACCAAGGGATACTTCTCAGTGATGAGAAAGTGTAAACTATTGCTTGCAAACCTGGCATCATCTCAGCAGTTTGTCATGCTGCCCAGCCTGCCTGGTTAATTACACCAGGACTGCACAGGGAATGCCTTCTCTAGGATGCTGTAGCAATGAGAAGGAGTTAGGCCAGCTCACATCCACAGACTAGAAGCTGCCAGCATGTACCTGGCCAGGTACAGAAAACTTATTTGCACTGTTGACAGAAAGCTTGTTTATGCTGCCAAATCAACCGAGCTTTGGCTGCTCCTTCAGGAGAGTAGCATCCCACACACTGCAGTCTGTCAGACCAGTTCAATGCAAGAGAAGCACCACTCTCGTCACCTTGCCCTTCCACACACACCCTGCCAAAGATCTGCCCCTCCTGCACCCCAGAAGAGACTGGCATGGAGAAGTGTCTAGACCCACCTCAGTGCACTGTACCCCTGGCACACGCTGACACAGCACAGGACTCGCTCCTGGTTGGCCTGGCTCTCTCCCAGGTATTTACACACAATGTTTCCACCCAGGCTGAAACCCACAACAACCAGCTGGGTCTGAGGATAGGTCTTCTTGATGTAATTAACCATGGCACAAAATTCCCAGGTGCAACCTAAAAATAAGGACAAAGTCAAGAATCATTTTCTAACATACCTAGATTCCCACTTCAGGCTTCAGTTGTGTGCTTTAAGTTCAGCTTCTTACCCTTTCTGACTTTTCAATAACCTTAAGGTTTTAAGAGCTCTGATTCACACATATTCATGTATCTGTTTTACAAGTCCTGTGGACCTTAGCTCATGCCTAGTTTTGACAGAGTGCCAAAAATGAAATTAACCTGCTTAAAAATCATGGCAACAGCTAATCTGACTATCCAAACTCTTCTTTCTAAAGCAGCTTAGAAAGCAGAGTCCAACAACTCTGGGCTTGACATTACTGTCTAAGAACAGCACACATCATTACCTTCCTGAGGCAGTTTGCCATGTCTGAACTCAAGTGAGGTGCCTGGAAAGCAGCTTGCTCCTTTGCTTTTAGCAAGGCTGCCATGGATCCTTAAATCCACGCTGATGCAGGGAGGGGATGGAAATGCAGAGTTGGCTTGTCAGGACAGAGCTCTCAGTGAACTGTTGCAGAGCCTGACTAAGCAGCTGCTCTCTGGAATCAGCAGGAAGGATTTAAACAGAGGCAGCTGGCCCTTTTTAACCACTGAAGAGGTAAAGATACTGCAGCTTCCTAGAAGACATATGGGTATCCCCTTTTCAAAAGAAGGGGTAAGTACCTCTATAGAAAGATCTGTTCTGCTCTCAGCTAACACCCATTTGCATCCCACAGGCACCAAGGGATCCAGCTCCTGGCAGTACTGGGGTCCGCAGATTGTTTGATAGACTTGAAGGCCTCCACACATGCAACATCTGAGTACCTACAGCTATTCCTCCTGCCTCTGAGGTTGGAAAAAGGAAACATGAAGAGAAACAGCTGCAAAATTGATGGCATTAGTATGCTGGTATCAACTGTCTATGCCCTTTATTAACCTTTCCATTGGATTTAAGACTGCAAACTGCACAGGAGGCACCACACAAACAACAGAAATAAAACTTCAGCTGTTTATTCTTGTCTAGAGTCAAAATCTTAGCTCTAACCTGTGGAACCTGTCTAAGGAGATTGATCCTAAGAGTTGGGATTCTACCCTGTGCCAACCTAACAGTGCTCCACTGTGTCCCCATCCCAACTGTAGCATCGTTCCAGACAGACTCAGGTTTTGGCTAGCTCTGGAGTAGACTGAGCACCAGGGTTTGTGTTTACTTCAGTGACACAGCTAGCAGGGCTTGGGCACCTCCTTGTGAACATTCTTAATGAGCAATTCTCTTCAAGATGACAAATGCTGCATTGCTCTAGTTTCCTCTGGAAGAAGCCAGCAGTCAAAATACTTTAGTGTTTGACCCTCATGATTTGAGGGCAGCTGGCAACAATTTCAGAAATCCCAAACTAGAATAGCAACAGGTCAAGCTTGATGTAAAGGCTGGAGGATTCAGCAAATCCCAAATATAGGCTACTTGTTCCTCAACAAATATGTCAGGAATCCAGCAAAAGCTGGAAGGATACTAGGATATTTGTATTGGATGCAAAGTAAAGCCTGCTTAGGGTCTTGCTGGCACACCACTTTACAAGCAACTCTGCCAAGTGATTTACTGTCATACTCAAAGGAAATGCAAGGCATTCCTTGCCCTTTCCAAGGCTAAAAAAGACTCAGAAAGGTATGTCTCAAGAGATGCACTATGGAATAACTCCCTAAGGTCTAAAGCAAAACTCCATGGAAGAAAGCTCTTGACTTTTATCAAAAAAATAAATGCTTTAAAGAATGCCAAGCTTAATTCCCAAGACATGGCAGGGTTGAAGCCATTAAGAGCCTAGGACTTCAATACAAATTGAGGCACTTGGTATTCCTGAAGTGTTTTCCACTGAGGAGCAGATTTAATAACTATAAAACAAGCAACAAAGCATTACAGCCTATTTGCCTGCCAGACCCAGAATCTCAAAATACAGTATTTCTATTTTGTCAATTCAACTGCTCAATATAAACATTCAAACTTAATCCAAACTTAGCAGTATCTTTCTTACTTTTAAAAAGGAAAAAGAAGCCTAATACCACTCTGCTAAACCACAACTGACTCATGACATGATATACCTATAGATGTTTGCAGTAAAGAGGGACATGAGGGCTCAAAAGAACTCAGGAACAAGCAGATCGGGTCATAGGCAAGAACACCACATTCTACCAAGATCATGTTACTCACTAGCAGGGCAGTTAAGAATAGCTGGAGTCACCCTTAACACCATTCCAAATCCTATATTCCTTTTCATTTCTAGGTTAAGAAAGATATCCTCATACTCAAGGTGAAAGCCCAAGATCATGGCAGCTAAGCAATACCACTTCTGTAGCTCTACCGTCATACTGTAGAATTGTTGCTGTTCCTTGACATTTGTGTTACATCCAGGGACCCATCCTCATCCGTCCCCCCTAGGATACAAGTGTGCTTTCTGAATAGGCTGGTACAAACTCCTCCCATATTACATTTTATACAGTCTTAGAAGTAGTGTTTATTTTTCACAGCCAGGTTTGTTTTGTATTCCACTAAACAGACATTTCAGCATCACTAAAATAATCTGAGCAGCTCTTAGTAGCCACAAGAGCTTTTTTTCAGAAGTTTTCTTTTCAAAAAACTGCCTCCTTGATTAGGAGGCACATGTAAGAGCTGGGATAAGAGACAAGGAAAAATGAACCTCAGTATTAGCCTCCCTTCTTCCTCACGTGTAAGTTCAGTCTACTTCCTAAGAAACAGTACAAAATCATCATCCTCATTCAGATATGGCAGTTGTGTTATGCTGAAGGAGGCTGCTCAAGCCCTAGAAATTCCACAAGCTTGAAATTAAGTCCCCAGGCGCCATAAAGTACCTACCATATGTGAACATCCGTGGAGAAGTGAGCTCAATATTTGGTAAGGCTCCCAAATGATTCAGGACAGCACATCTGTACCCATTTTTTTGCGCATAGTCAACAAAAGTGCGGATATACTGCTTTTCACTGTGGTTAGCAATCCCAGGGCAGATTACCATTGTGACATCCTCTGTGCACAGAAAGAGAGGGAAGTTAAGTAAATGTCACCTCATGCAAATTAAGAGATTCAGAAGGTTTCCATTTCAAACTCGTGGGAAACCATCTACCAGAAACAAGCTAAAAATCCTACTACTCTGCCAAAAAAATCCAGTACGGCACAAGAGACTAGTGGCTCTAGTGCTACAGATGTAAAAAAGTAATTCATGGTACAGGAGATGAACAGTTTCATAACTTCAGGGAAAGCTGTCCAAACAGTTCTACAGGCACTGCCTAGAGACCAAGAGTAAATTCATCCCTTTGAAGGATATTTTTGACATTACACATGTGCTGCCTTCTGACAGCCTGTTGTGACTGCTAAGTGTGTGGAAGCTCTGGAGCCCACTGCTTGTTCATGCACCAAGTAGATGGGCTACACTGCTTTTCTCTTGTTTTCCTTCCAGAGTTGGGTGTTAACACAGATGTTCAAAATAAAGCTTTGCTAAGCACAGACATTCTGATCAGCTGACATTAGCCATCCTCTGCTTAGTGGCTAATCTAATGATATTAGATCTGCTGACACTGTTCACTAGTTTAACAAGATACTATTTCATCAACTAAGAAAGTAATTGTTGTAATTCAAGTAGCACAGTAAATTACATTCAGGATTAGCATATGCACTTCAAATGAGCTGTAAGACTCTTTGCACTTACATGCAAAGCTCCAACACTTAGCAGCTCTAGCTACTGAATTTTTGCCTCATTAGAAAAACACTGCTCAGATTCTCTTCAGTGATAAAGATAACAAACAGTTCTGATGCAGCATTATACCACAAGGATCTCAACACTGACAGAAGAACTCTGCTTTTTCTGAAGGCCAAATGGGAGTCATGGGCTTACAATGAAGTCAGCTACTGCAGCGGTAAATTGTATTTCTGAAGTCAGCTACAGTAACTCAGTTTTAAGTGTTGCTGTTACTACCAGTAACTGAATTTGGAAGCTGACATTCACTCTGAACATATATAATTTGTAAGGAATCATCATGATTTTCTACTTTTTGATGGAGTTCTCTTCATGTCTGGACTCCTTCATATCCTGTGCACATGAAGTTTGTTGTCATGCAGATCTTGAAATAACTATTGTTAGCAAAGACTACCAAAAATCTGTTTCTAATGGGGAGATAAAGTCTAGTTTCTTTTCCATACATGCCAGGCTTGAAGAACCTCAAGCAGCTAGCCTCTGTTCAGGCAAAGGGCATGCCAAACAAGACTTACCACCAAATCCTCTTTGTCAGCCCCTCACTTGAGGCACAGGTTATGGAACATTTCTTCTATTCATTAACTCCCCACCTCTTGCCACAAACAGTTAATTAGTCTAGTAGGGTCTCTCCTGCTGCCTGAGATATAGGTATACAACAAGATGGCCTCATAGCCTCCACACATTGGTCAGTACTGCTTCACACCCCCCCTCCATCACCAGAATGATTATCTATCCTTTCTGCTAAATCAAGTGGCAGTGTCCTCATCTATCCCCCAGGGCACAGAATCAAGGTTAGCAGCTCTATGCAGCCAGCAGCTGTTTGACTGACCTCCAATGCAGTGCTCTGACTGTGGATCAAAGAGATCAAAGGTGGCTGTTGCTCCGTCTGGCATCGTGAGGTACTTGCGAAGTCCATACGGATGTGGTGATCTCACTCTCCCCATTTTTCCGTAAAGAGCAGTCTGGATATGTCCACTCTTTACCCAGATCAGGGGTGGAATGTACCTGAAAGAGGCAGTAACTTAATTGCTTATCCCTGCTGTGTTAATGAGCCTTTGAGAACAGATAAGCACTCCCATAACAAATCTCCCCCTCACTACCAAATATAGTAACAAATATGAAATTGTTTTTGCTATGACTGAACTGGCAGCACTGATCTTTGAAGCCTCACACAAGAAGAGACACTGATATGCTCTCAAAGCTGAGAAATCAGCACTGATAGCAGCAGAAGCCAAAATCCAGACATTCCTCTACATTGAAGCATTACATGCACAAATACTTCTCAAATACACAGAGGCCTTGTGCCTCAGTGAGATTGGGACAGCATGTTGCTAGCCAACCAAACTGACCTCCAAAACCGGTAAAATGTTGTAAATCTGTTTTAATTGAAACACAAGCCTGCTGGGTTGAGCCACATGACCTTGCATAAGCACTTGACTGTACAAGCCAATGGCAGAAACAACAGGATTGATACCAACTCTTAAAGCTTTCTGTCTTCTAGAACTTGCTGGTTGGGATGATTTTACACAGAAATGCTTTCCTCAGTTAAACGAGGAGCACAATACAGGGGGATTTTGCCTCTCAGAGTTAGGTAGAGCTGGGAGAGTTTTAAAAGGACCTGTCAGAATTGGCCAACCAAGTTCCACTGAATAGTAAATCCCTTTCAACATGAGGGGGGACTCTACCAGTTACATTTATTTATTAAGGGCATATCAAAGCTAGATGACAAAGCAGATTGTTTTTTCATGGCCCTCAAAAAGAGACATAGGGGAAACACAGCTACTAGCTGGAAGAGGTCAAAGGCTTAGTTATCAGTTTTGTTACAGTAGAGCTGCAAGTGGTTTAACAGGAGACATACTGCTGCCCACGTGGTGGTGGCGGGGCAGTCGCCAGGCCACTCTGCAGAGCACAGACTAAGCTGATGCCTTGAAAAAGATAGTGACATCAGTTCTCAACAGGAAAGCATGAATGATTTATTGTTTAGGAGAACAGCAGTCCCAGGGGACATGCTTCCAATTAAGGAGCTGTGGTTGCTGCTACACAGCAGAGTGTTCAGAAGAAGCTTGAGAGCTGCTGACACCACCTTGGATCCTGAGAGATTAGCAACTCCCTCCCCATTTTGTTTTTGTGGGGTTTTTTTTTTTTGAGAGGGTTTCCTGCAATTATTCCCTTCAGCTTCTTGAGACCACATGGAGCAGAGAGCCTGTTCTTTCATGCTTTCTCCTGTTCACAGAAAACCAGGCAGCTCAGGGCTCAGAGTTACCACTTACACACATAATCCACTAGAATGGAACAGAAGCCTTGCCTCCTTTACACTTTGACCACTACCTACTCATAGCTGGACCTTCTTCCCCATGACAGCTCTTGTGTTGTATCCACAACTCCCCGTTTCCCCTACACACTCCTCAAAAAAAAAGATGACTTCCTATTAAATAAGAACTATCTAGGCTTTTTTAACAAGACAAGAGTAGCAGTATACCCTTTCTCCATGTTCCCTTCTCTCATCCATGAGGGAGACTTCTTACAGTCAATGCAACACAGCAGTTGCATTGTCATTTCACTCAGTTTTTGCAAGTGCACTTCCCCAAGAGACCCAAAATAAATTCCCATAAAAGTAGATACCACTTCAATAAAAGCTACAAAAGCTGCCAGCTGATGCTTGTAACCTTGTAATTTAGCCCTCAGTGCATCCTGGATTCTATCACTCAACTGTAAAGCTTGTTAAAAAAGTCTGTGTGGGGCTAGTACCACTACCTGTCTTTTATCAGTCCAGCATATGCACTGCAGGTGGGTCTTGCCAGGCACAATTTGTGGCACACCAGCTGTGCAGAGATTCCCAGCAATGATGGGGACCATACAAGCTCATCCTCTGCAATTGCTGGTAGAGATGGAAAGTAGTCAGTGGATACACACTCATGATTCAAAGCAGATATCCATCAGGATAATGCAGTCAATGTAAACAAGGCTGCACAAAAAGAACTACAGATGGTTCTGCTCAAGTCACAGCTCACTGCAGAGGGTTTTGAACAGCAACTATTATACCAGATAGAAGATACTGTTCTTCTAGTGTAAGAAAAAGCAGCTGGCTTCACCTCCAGTCATTGACTTTGTGACCAGTTTAGGCCAGTAGCCATACCCCACACTTGACAGTGCTTGACTGGCTTTTTGTATTCTTTCACAGAAGTCCTTTGCAGATGGGGTTTGCTAGCAGCTTTTTTGAGGAGACCTGTCAAATACAACCTACAAAAAAATTTTCAACTCTTTTAGAAGAGACTCAGATGTCAACTGTGTTGCATGGTTTCTAATCTTAGGATAAGCACATGCATTGGAAAGTTTTGGTGATTCTACCTCTACGTAGTGCTTTTCAAATCAAAGATTATCCCAGGTAAAACCCAAAGTCTTATGCCACAGGGCTAACAGGAAAGCAATTTCTCCAGCTACAGCAGCTAAGCTATACAGCTGTGACTGTTTACTGCTACCACCTTGATAAAAAAAAAAGATCTCTGCAAGCACCAATCCCTTCCTCATGTTCATCTACAGTTCAGTTTCCAGCTATAAGTTACAGTCATCCAGTGGAATAGATGCAGCAGCACATACCACAGGATGTGGTTAGAGAGAAAATTACAAGAGTCTTCAAAGCCTCACCACTACTGAAGACAAATGGCTTCAAGCATACTGCTTATCAAGAGTGTACTACTTACCACAGCCTGCCTTGTCAGGTCACAGCTGGTTTCTTTGGGGGGAAGAAAAAACCCCAAACCTACCACCTTCAAATAACCTGACTGGAAGTCACCTGAAGCACTGATCTTCAGTAAGTCAAACCTTTATGTTGCTTTTATGTAGCCAAACAGCACACACTGTTTCACCAATATGTTCTTTGTTAAAGGAAAGGCAGGAATCCCTGTAACTCCACCCATAATAATGGACAAATGCTACCTGTGGGTTCCACATTTCCATCTGAAAGCTAAAACTGTGTCAAGTCCGATCGACAAAGGTGCAGTCACTGCTTGCTCCCTTCAGAGTGCACAAGTCAGTGTTTCTGAGCATCCTATGGACCAAGTAAAGTGCTCAGCTTATCTTTTATACTAACTCCAGCCAGTTGTTTAAGCATCACACTGTCTGCAGCAAAGATGTGCTAGCATTAGTCACTCTGCATGTAACTACACTCTTCTACATAAATATTCAAAGGTCAAGTTCCAGCATGAGTAATGTGCATAGGACAGTACCCTGATGCAGAGATTTGTTACTCCCACTTAGTTGTACTTAAGCATGTTAAGTATATTTCTGCAGTTTGCACTTAAAAATAAAGCAGTTAACAAGCTGCTGCTCTAACACTTGCATGTATTTCAGAGCTTTATCTCACCTATCTTTCTTTTACTACTGCCCATCAGCCTTTAAGCAATAAACTTATGGTGAGACAGTCTAAAATCCCTTAAGTATCCAGGCTCGAGGAGACTGAACATCACAAGACTTCAACAGGGAGGGGGAAAGAAGTTGCCCAGATTGTATAGATCTTGCATAATCAGTGAAAAACTAAAACAAATTAAAACTCACCTTACCAGATTGATGCTAAAGCAATAAGCTATTAAAAATATTACACTTTCTTTTACCAAGTTGCCAATCTAACCTACCACAAAACCCTGTAAAGCCTTGACTAACATAGTGATGCCTCTGTATCATTGGATTCCAGCAAAATCTGTCCTCAGCTGAGGGACAAGTTTGACTTTGTAAAGCATCCTTATAATCTACAGCAGAATCAGGCATATGATGTATCAGACTATTTTTGTTGGCCCTCCATTTTGGCAATAGACAAATCTGGTTTTGAAAGTGACTTGTATCTACATCTTTCAGTGATAGAAAGTCTACAAGAACTTCCAAGACCAAGTACTGAGCATAATAGTCCAAGGAAGATTGAAGGACAAGACATCTTTTTATCCAGGATTTGTGTGGACTTTCAGCTTGCTTTTACTAAAACCATTCAAAGAAGAGAGCATATAAAGAACACTTCAGTTATGAAGGCACATGATACCACACTGGCGAGGGGAAAAAAACTCGCCAGGAATTGTGCAAGAGTCTTTACCCTCTGAAAGTGCAGATCAGATAACAAGTTTAAATAAAACTTAGCTTATGTGAAAAACCGTTCCAGAGACATTTTCATGCTCAACCCAGCTGAAAAAAACCTAACTATCCAGTGCCAATAGCAATAGCTAGCACAGATTGTTTTGTAGTGAAGCCAACATTCCTCATGGCAAACAGCTGAAAAAGAGATGCTCCTCTGAAACAATCACACTGTTAGCAGAAGAGCATGTACTCAGGGTATTTTTCTTATGGCTTACCTTAGCAAAACAAGTTCGGCAGGGTGTGACACATGGAAACACAAGCTAGATATCATGCAGACTGAGCAACTAAGTAGTATTCAGTTCAAGGAACATTCAATCATTACTTGTGATAGCTTTTTTTATGCTAAAGCTATCACTACTGCTAAATTTAACCATGTCTTCCAAACAAGGGCCCCTCACTCATAAAAGCAGGTGGCTTCCCTCCGGCATTGATACTAAGTAAAAACAAGGAAAGTGTTCAAGGACATGACAGACTTCAACTTCTCTAACACCTGCTATAAACCAAAGCGGTTTTGAAAAGCAGTGTACTGTAGAGATTATCCCAGCACAACAAATTTCACTGTATGAGATTATTCACTATGCATTCCTCTGTGTGCCCGGTTCCAGCAAAGCTGCTCACAGACGTACGAGAGCCCAGGCACAGACACCATGTCTATAAGCAGCATTTCCACTGTTCTGCAATAGCAGTTTACAGATGACAGGAGCTGAGTGGTGAACAGCAGTCAAGAAGACTTCTTGCCAAAGAGGTATATGCATGCCCATGCAAGCACAAGGATGATGTACCACAATAGCACAGACAAGCACGTACTGATAACACGGAGATACAAAGGCAAAGTTGTGATGTACTAGGAAAAAAAAATAAATCTGTTTCTGTGAAATAAAAATGGCTTCCCAGTTTGCTCCAGACCCACAGGCTTTTAAGTGACTCCTTTTCCTGTTTTGATTTGGTCAGTTGCAATAGATATCAGGCACTCTGAGTAAAGACAAATATTTGAGGTAGTTAGTTATGGCTTCCAGTGGCCAATCCTACAACTTCCAGTAACAGGGTTTTGCAACAGAAGGCAGACAGGAGAACAGATCTGGGGATGCCAGTTACTTATTATGGAGGCTGAGTTACATGGCACAACAAGTACAGAGTTCAGTCTTACCTGGTTAAGTGAATTCACAGCCAGTTATACAAGTCTGCTCACAAATGTTAATGTTTTAGCTCCAAAAACTGCTTTTCAGCTGTGCAGCCCTACATCTTGATAGGTGGCTGTCTACAACAGTGCCTGAGAGCAAAAGAATTCCTAGGTGTTTCACAAACATTCTCCTAGCATTTTAATGTTAAAAACAATTCCAATACATGATTGTAGATTAAGTTTTAGTGGCTCTCAGGCAGCAGATTATTATTTTAGAGCACGTACATCACCCAGTACGCAGGAATTTAGAAAAGCAGCAGCTGTATAAGCAGCTCACACAAAGCACATAAAAACTGTGCTATTTTTATTAGCAAGCATCAGCATTCAGGTCCTTAAAGATCTGAAGTGGAAGTTCAGCAACAGGCTTATTTCTGGAGCATTACTTCATTTCATCTGAGGAGATTAACACTTTAAACACTACCTCTTACATCAGCTTTGATGTGCTGTAGTACATTGGATACTGACAGCAAGAAAGCAGAGCCTACAATTTGTCCATGTCAGGAGACACCCTGAGAACTGCCACCTGCATTATAACAGGCAACAGGTTATTCTTTTTCCCTTTTACAGGGCAGTTTTGAGGTATTTAAAGGACATTTCACAAATCAAACCTTGTTTGAACCTTGTCCTTTATTTGATGCTAGGGAATGCAATTTGAATTCCATCAAGAAAGCTCATCTAAAAAGTCTGCAGGGTTCAAGCCCCATCTCCCCCAAACATGTAAAAAGCAGCTTTTTCTGCATCAGTTCAGCTAGAGCATTCAATGTGAAGACAACACAGCAAATGTGTAACACCAAAATGTTAAAGCCATTTACAAAGCTTTCTGAAAAACAAACTAATAGAAGTGGAGTAGGAGGGTTTGCTGCCCATAGAAAACGTGTGAAGTCAGAACTATTTTAAAGTGCAGACTGGCCTCTTTGGTTAAACCACTTCCTTCCCAATTTAGGCAGCTTTTATTTAGTAAAGTGCCCATCACATCCCTCCTCAACCTTCAGAGACTACAAGAAGTATTCTAGTCAGAACAGGGCACAAGTATTACAGCACATCTTCCTTGCTGATGAGAGCTGGAGAACAAGGCTGCTGCCAGTGCCACAGCAGAGCACCTAGCAAGGACTCGGACACCCTGAAGCTGCTTCCCTCCCCAGGGTCAATGCTTCAACTTACTAACAGGGAGCTACCATCCTCCTCTACCTCTCAATGTGTTCACCTGCCAAAGCTTCAGGAGCAACACTGTTCTTCTAGCTTATTATTCTCCTGGAAGTGATCCTCCCAGGGTAAAACACTAAGGAGTTGACAGGAATCAAATATTGTTTGCTATTAGATGGAGGAAAAGAACATTGAAAAGCTTGAAGCCAGCTTTTCTGACTACTTGTCTCCTTGCATCTAGGAGAAGAACAATGACAGTGGAAGAGAGTCTTCTGGTACCAGGCAGCCTGCTTATCCAATATAGGTTACTGTGCAAACAAAGGATAAGAAGGATCTAGGCTGGATCTTTGACAGCATTTACTAACAGGCTTGACAGTCATTTGCCTCAATATTTGAGAAGCTTGCCTTTTTTAATGATAAAAGTGTGCAGATAGCACAGATAATTATTTTCAATAAGGACAACACTTGTGCTATGACTCTACAGTAATAGAGATACAAACATGCACTTGATGGTAGAAGAAATTAGGAAAAGCCAACAAAAATCTCCAGCCCAGTACAGCAAGCACTGGCCAAATCTGTCTTCATGAATCAAAGAGCCAATACTGCATTTCTACAGGAATAAGAGAGCAGATGGCAGACTTTCTGTACTGATTTGAAAAAAGGAGACAGCTGCAGGCAGAGGTTAGTCCCAAGTGCTTGAGGGCACCAATAGCTGTGCTGATTTGCAAAAGCTTCCATGCAAGCAACAGTTCTTTGAATGAATAAAGGTCTGATTATGCTGCTCCACTTGGTAAGCCAAAGTACAGAGGTGGACAGGGTAGAGGAAGGGAAATAAAGAGATAAGAAAACATGAGCTCTATTGCTTACCAGTGCTTGATCGATATGTAGAAAGCTTCTAACAGTTTGGAGAATTGTAAAAAGCAGTATTAACATCTGCAAGTACCAAGTACCTGGCACGCAGCCTTCTCAGGCAGTTTTACTACCCAAAGATCTTAAATTATTCATCCACCACCAGTTGGCTTACTGAACAACACTACGGTTACGATGTACTGAATAAGTCCATTGGTGAGGATGATGCCATGAAGAGGAAATAAAATCCAAAAGTGTTTTTCCAAGCATTTTTTAATAGCTGCACAGACAGAATAACTTTGCTTATTTCTGCTTTCTCCCTGCTACCCTGTCTGTTTTTTTTCCCCAGCAATATCCTCACTCCTTCCTCCCTTAAGCACAAGGGAGCTGAACAAACCAGGTCTGAAAGCCAGTTCACAGCTGTACAGAAGAATTGGTCTTGTAACAGATTTTACAACAAACACAGTACTGATATCACAGAAGGGATAGCTGGGCTACTTATTTTGCTTTCATGGTAGAATTTGAAAAGAGCTGCTTAATCAGCTTTCCTAACACTCTGAATAATTAGCAAGTAATCAAAGTCTTACAAGATTTTTTCAGTGGAGTATGGCACAAGCTATTTTCACATAGCTTTTTGCTAATTAGTCCTACAAACTATTTCATGCATAATTGCAGGAATTTAAATATATTTGTTCCCCTTTAGTCTCTAGGTGACTTTCATGCCTAGAGACAGGATTTCTTTGATTTTTTAAAATTTCTGTATTGAAAAGTCTGTGATAACATCACTAGAATAGCAAAAATCACATATACATCATCTTACAAAGTTGTCTTTTCTGCAAACCCTTTCAATCCCCAGCAGCAATTTATTCCTGTCTCCCCTAACATAGGTATACAGGTAACAAAACTGAACAACCACCTATTGACACATTTTGTTCCAGTTTGTTTCCTGGGTTCACACAAGCCTTTGAAGCAATGTTCCACCCAAGAACCATGTGTTGGAAATCACCACTACAGTTTTCAGAGAAGTTAGCAAGCCTGAGCACAGCTGATCCAGAGAAAGCAAACAACCCTAGATTGCATACTATTAACACACCACCAGGATTCTGCAAGCTCTTCACTCCTGCAGTTAATGCACAACAGATGTACTGCAATTTTTAGACATGTTCTGCATTTTCACTCCTTTGGGAATGCTTTGTTCTCCAACTGATAAATCAAAAACATGGCTTAATACAGTAGTGCTAGGAGCTTGTACCATAAGAGCAGCTGAAATAAGAGTAAAAACAGACTCTGAATTAGCTTACAGTCTGTTTCCAAAAATTAGCCTGATACTAATATGCCTTCAAGACTGGTAATCACCACAACTTCACGCTCGCTCTTTCAGTGATGAGGGACACGTCAATCTGGAGTGCCAGCATTGAGATAACAAGCATCTAAGATACACTAAGGAGATTCTAGTTACTTGGTATTTTTTAGGGAAGCAACTGCTTTGCAGTTAAGGCACTAGACATAACCAAGCATCCAATTTCAGTGCTCAGCTTCACCACACACTTACATTACTGCCAAACTCAGAGTGCATCAGGGAACCCTTTCCAGGCTCCAAGGTAAAATGGATAATGCTTTGTTTCATCTAAGAGTTTACAGATCCTATGGCCTAAGATCTTACACCTTATGTAATCAAGGCACCTAACACAGCACTGCTAAAAGCCTCTCATCTCCCCTAGAATGCCTATCATTAAGTCAGCTTGACTTCTGAGATCCAAAAGGAAGGTTCGTGCAGCTGCACTCAGCACTTACTAGATAATTGATGTATTTAGGGCTTCTAAATAGGGCTTGCAAGTTTTCAAAGTGATTGCAGAAGAGAAATACAGTAATCAAAGTCCTTGTCCTTCCAAAGCCTCATGAAATTATAGTAAATGCTTCATATTATTGCTAAAGGTAAGGGCAGCTGCACTGATTCTAGAGGTCCTAGAATGGAAGGTCAAGGATCAGCCTGCTCAAATTCAAACTGACCTTATGTCAACTGTGTAAGTGGATTGAACAGGCTTAGAGCTGGCCAGTATGTCATTACTTTATTAATCTAGTTATGATGATGTGCTCTACCCAGTAATAGATTTCATTAGTCTTCAATCGACTTAAGGCACTTCAAATAAGAGTAGGCACTTTAAAACTAATAGCCATCTCTGTGTTCATTGTAAGTACACGGACACACCATGAAAACGTTTCCTTCCTGCAAACTCTGACAGATTTCTTCCCTAACAGAGAGTACATGAACAGGAACAAGTGCTGACTGCATCCATCCCTCCCCCATTTCCACAGACAGTGGGCTATATAGTGCTGGTATAGTACAACATCAGCATACAGCCACTATACAGAGAGGCAGGGGTGACTTTTTCCACACATCTATGGAGAACCCGACATAATAAGGCTTGGTCCTAAATCCAGATACCTGGGATACCAACAATGATGACATGCTTGACTTGATCTGGTTTATTTTATCAAGAGGATACCATGACATTCATTTGCACCCAGGTTTAAGAAACACACTAGGCAGAAGAACAGTTAAGTGCAGTTGTTCTCCCTGTTACCCAAGTCAACATGGAAAAAATATATTACTTACTCTTTGGTCAAAAGTGGGCAGGATTTGAGTAGAAAGCGGGCCAAAGCAGAGTCCTGGTAAATGAGTTCAGGAGGGGCAGTTGGGCTTTTTAAATTCAAGCAGCGAACAATAACATACAGAACAGCAGCAACTGCAGCTAGCTTCACCCCATCGAACACCGCCGGCAGCTCAGGGGTTTCCAACATTGCACTCATTTTGAGTCTGAGATAAAAAACAATATTAAAGCTTTTTGCAATATACTGTTGAATATGGTTATCAATTGTGATGTTAAATAAGACTGTACTAAGTTTGTCAATTAACACTGCTACAAAAATCTTAGCATAGCAACCCAGACTAGCAACTTTTAAGACGAAAGGAAGTTTATTTTGTACTGCTCTTAACACCCTGATCACCACAAGAAATAGAAACTGGATGATCAGTTGGGAAGGAGATTTATTCCTAATCAGTGCCACACTACAATTGCGACAGCGTCTCAGGTGTCAAACCCTACAGTCTGCAGCCAGTCAATACTTTGAGAATCTTGGCCAAGACTCTCTGGCTCAAATAGCAACTGACTGAAAAGCCAGGCAATTAAGGCACATCAGCAGCTTTAGATGTGTGTTTCTTCCTAGACGTACAAGCCAGGCTCAAAAAGGAGAACTTGAAAGAACTACTGTATTAGCTCCTCAGCCTGAGTTTTGCAACTCCATGAGAATACTGGTACTAACTCCTGCCTGTATTTAAGGTGGTCACTTTATGGACCAGTGAGTTCAGCATTTCTTTTAATTTACTGTAGTTCTGCAGCTGAAGGAGGATTAGATTAATATCTAGTCTTTCAAGGGCTTCAGAATAAAGGGAGCAGGGCAGAGGAGAGAATTAAAACCTCACAATATAACAATATCCTTCCAGCTTGAAATCAAATTCTTAAACTGATCCAGTTTCTTTTGAAGTTCAAATAGCTGGCTACAGTTATTAACAGGGACATTTCATCCATGTTGAAAGGGCAGGTTTTTCCCCGAGTCTTTCCTCAGCCACATAGGCAACCCAAGTAAGATAGCAACTGACAAGTCAAGTCTTACCAATGTCACTTTTTCTTCAAACTAGAAATAATTGCCAGTCCTCAGTAGAATTGTAACCGTCTGGGATCCACGTACTACCCGAGTTACCCTGCGAAGAGAGGAAAAGAAAACTGATTATGACTGATAAGGTTGCATCACTCAGCTGGAAGGGAAGAACACAAGTTTATAGAGAGGTCCCATCACAGACATTGCAAGTAATTTGTGTAGTCAGTCTTAACTGCTCCAACTCTGATCCATCTGCATCAGACCTCTTGCCTATGGACAGATTTCAGTCTAGATCAGTTGCCTTCAGCTTATTAATTCATTTGCAATATGCAAATATACCTTCATGAGCATAGACAGTTGCAATAATGAAAACCAGTACAACTTCTGGAAGTTCATAGCTTGGCTCTCCTCTGAAGACCACAGAATCACCATCTTCGCAAGACAGTGACATTTTCCTCAGTTACAAAAGCTACCCAAATCCCTTCATATTTAAAAGACTGGAAGTAACAGGCTACTGTTTTCTCAACTTTGTGCGGTATCTACACTGTTACTGAAGTCTGAAGCCAGCCTGAAAAGTTCTCTGCTACTTTTATTTAGGCTTAGCAAGGCAGCTCACTCCTACGCATGGAAGCTTGTAAACAGTCTCTGTTCCCACACTTGCTTTTTTGAGAAGTTACAACATATCACACTAACAAGATGGTGAGAGCCACCAGGAGGCTCAGACAGCCACCTAATCAGCACTAGTGCACACACACCAAGGCTTGTTACAAGAACTTGATGATGCTAATAAAAGAGAGAGGTCTTTCAGCCTGTAACTAAAAATCTAAGTGACATTTACAATTAAAACTGGATTCCCTATAGGCACAACAAACCTATGGGAATCAGAGCTTCAAGGAAAAAGTTCCAGAACTGTCTGCTCTCTGCCACAGCTACTGCTTCCAACTTGGAAAATACACCAACAGGACAGGCCATACTATAGACTTAGTCTTCTTCCTAGCTGAAAGACAAAACCTCAGAAGTACTTTCTGTACTCAATGCAGCTACACCAAAATCCATTGGAAGAAAACAAGTCTGACATCAGCTATTGATTAACAGTGTTCTGGAAAGCTGCAAGTTTCTGCTACCATAACCATCTGTGTTGCAGGAGAACAGAGGGTGAGGAAAGAAGACAACATTTAATATTGGAGAGCCCTGAAGCTTTTATTTTCCAATTCTGAGCTTCACAGTAGAAGGGAGAGAGGAGCAGGCTACAAACCCCCCCCATTTATTCTTCTAATCAGAAGATTACACTGGCATCATGCATCCCAATAAAGAGTTTGAGTACAATGTTCAGCTATAGTATGTTACCTCACTTCCAAACTTAGTAGGCTTTCACCAACACTACTGTCAGCTGTGTAGGGGACAACAGGCAAACTACAGCAATGGCTTCTCCAGGGAAGGTACAATCAGCAGAAGAGTGGATTGAGTTCCTGAGTGATCATGACTCAAGGACAACCAGGTGCTTGGACAAGTCTTCCCCAGCTAAAACTCCCAGAAGTTCTGTTGGCATCTTCCCTTCATTGTTTTATTTAGAAAATTAATAGGGACACTGATACAAAAGTTAACCAAGACCTTCCTGCCACCTGGATTTTAAGTTAGTTTACTGTTTACAGCTTTCACAACATTAGTGAATTTGTTAAAAATAAAACTGTGCATGATTAGTCATTAGCATTTTGTACTAGTGACTCAGTATAACTGATCTAGCTAAGCCATGTTTCCCTGAGTCTCCCACATAATCCTCAGATTACAAGCATACCACATCTTTTTGTTACTTCTATATGAAGTTTTTGCCTGTTACCTTCAAAAAAGCATACTAGTTTAGAGTTTCTTTCAGAAAAGTCAGCTGTTGGTAGGCAGGATTATGCTTCGGAACTTGTGAACTTTTATTTTTCCCCTTTAGTCTAAATACACATTCACTGAACATACATCTCAAACACATGTTATAGGTTCATGTATTCGTCAGGATCTCTACCCAAAAAAACTCAGATCAGTCTGTGTACAGCTAACAAAGTTAGCACTGCTGTTGCAGTTGCACAGCAGTCTGGAGTGATTAACTAAGCAACGAATCTAGTCCAAGACTACTAGATTGGTAAACTCCACACCCTATGGATCCAGCTGTAGCACTGCAGGTACTTTGTTGAGAGTCTGGTATTTCTTAAGACCTAAACAGACTTGGCTCAGCCCCTGCAAATCTGCCCTGGCTGAGACAGGGCGCTCTGCTCTAAAATTTTGAGGGTTTAACTTACTGAAATGGATTTGAGAGCTCTGCCTCTAATCACATAGGACAAATGCCTTGCTATTTACAAGCAGGGATGAGGTCACCTTGCTTCTGTTTTGTTAAACCCTTTTTGCATTGACCCAATAAACTTGTCTGTTTATGAAAAAAAGATATGTAACCACCATGTTGAGCCAGTCAAATTTAAATCTAGAATCTCCTCTAAATGGGTCAGCATTAATATAAACAGACAAACATTTGGCAATTCACTTTTAGCAGGCTAGACAAAATTACCAAGAGGCAGTAAGTATATCATTAGAAGCAATCAAGCCTGCCTTTTCATCTATCACAGGGTTTGAGATCCACACTGAGGAAGACAAAAAAAATTGAAGCTCTCAGGGGTAAAGATGTTATTTTGAAGCACCTTAAGTGTACAATTCCTTTTTTAAAATAAATCACTTAAGACTGACAGTCTTTTCAAGCAATATTCTTTGGGGCTGTTATGCTTTTAAGTCCCATTTGTGACTGAGGACTAACTTTAAAATCAGTCACTGGAAAGCAAGTGCTGGATTTATGAAGTCTTTTAATTTGCCCTTTCATCAAGGAATAAAGAGCTGAAAACCACGTTACAGGAAACACTTCAGCACTACTGTTAACAGAGCATACCTCACCTGTACAAGTAACAAGAAAAAAATCCACATCTCCCCTTTCTAGACAGGCATAGAAACAAGTATCACAAAAGGCAGCAGAGCTCCAGCAAATTCCTCATGTAGCTTTTCAAAGACACTGGGCTTTGGGAAAACCATTGCCAATATACCTACTTGTACAGCAAGTGAAGTCATAACTAACAACAAATCTGAAAGTTGCACACGTTTCTGTTCCAGGTTTCCTGGGCAGAGGAGACTCTTTCAGGGACAGAAGTCACTTTATGCTGTGACTCAACAGGGCACACACAGGATTTGGTAGCTACTGAGCGTTACAACTCCTCCACCCATGCTGAAGCTAAGCCTGACTCTGCATACTGGAAAACCAATATTAAAAAAGCAAAGACATTAAAGGAAACCACTCCCGCAGGGTCCTTCCCTCAGGCCTTTTAATGAGCAACTGAAAGCCTGGCAGACTCATTTCACTGAAGCATTAGAAATGCTTTGGGCTAAAGCAAAGATACAGCTGTATGGAACTGCCCACAGACAAGAGTAAAGGCAGCCTCTTTAAAAGGGGCTCCACTAACAGGATATTTTATACTCCATTACATTCACTGAAGAATCTTGAAGGAAGCCCATTTCCAGGAACAGCAGTCTGATACAAAAGCCTCCTAGATGCCCTCCTACCAGTCAGCATTCTGGCTCACTAGTGCTTTCAGAGCTCAGCTGGACACCAAAATGTTAGAGCATACCTGGCCAACACTGAAAGCATTTAAAAATCCCCTTTCCTATCCTTTTACAGCTTCTACCAAGTACTGTAATATTCTCTTCTCCCCACTAAGATTCAGAAGAGCCAGAAGAGGCTCTTGTTTCTATACAGATTAAGCAGACAGACTTCATTAACTAACTTATCAGACATCTCTTGGACTGGTTTCATTTATTTGTAGTGTCTGCTTGCAGAATAAAACTCTGAAAGCAAGTCTGCTAGACAAGAGGAAAGCAAAACACACTACTTTAAGGAGTTGTGTCTAGGTGGATTCAGATCAGAAATAATTTTTTTCCCCCCACTCCTCAAAGGAGGGAGGAAGGCTGTTTTACTGAAGTTAGTTCCTTAGAAAGTATTTCCAGGAAATTATTATCAGCCAACACTAATGCCTCTCAAAACATACACCACAAAAACAGAAGTTACAGGTCTGTCACCACCAGGTAAGATATTTAGAACCACATTTAGAAGGGAAGTTTACTAAGGAAAG